TGAATTTAAAATTCAATATTTTTTTGGTTAAATTAATTTGGATCGTAATAACTTTTTAAAAAATATAATTTTTGAAAATTTGCTGACATAAGTATATTTTTTAATTTATTTATTTTACCATATAATATTAATAATTTTTGTCATACGTTTGATTAGCGAGATGAGAATTTAAGGAGGATTTGTGATGAGATTAAGGRTGATAGACAAAGAATTAATTCATTAGTGATATCGTAGAAGTGGCTTGTCAACTGTTGACAAAATTATAAACAATTGATTGATATGGTTCAGTCATGTTATGTATGAGTAGAGGTGACTCAGAGACAGTGCGAATGATTATGGAAATCTATGTGGAAAGAAAGAAAGAAAAAGACTGATGAAGATCAAATAAAGAAAGACATGAAATAGTTGGTAGGAGTCAAAGCGTGACTTTTAATTAAAATTGATACATGAACCACTCTGACTAATCTAAGTGGAAAATCAATTAAAATATTAGTACCATTCTGCTTAAATTAGAATGTCAGGTTGCACTATATTTTAATATTTTATTAAATTATAGATGAAGATCTCGTGGCTCAAGAACTTAAAAAACGAATTAGAGTTCTTTGTTGGGTCATGACTAGTCCTAGTAATCACATTAAAAAAGCAAGACATGTAAAAGCTACATGGGGTAAACGTTGTAATACATTACTTTTTATGAGCACTGTTAAAGGTAAGTATTAGGACCATATTACTATTGTCAAAAAATTAACTCAATTTTGTAATTTAGATAAAAGTTTGCCATCTATTGCATTACCAGTTAAAGAAGGTAGAGATACACTTTGGGGTAAAACTAAAGAGGCATTTAAGTACATACATAAACATTATAATGATTATGATTATGTATTGAAAGCTGATGATGACACGTATGTAAAATTGTATAATATTATATTTTTAAAATTAAATATTGTAAAATKTATTTATTATGCTGATAAAAAGTTGATAAAATGTATTATAATCAGGATTCAGGGCTTAGACTTTCCTGTATTTGCTTATTTCCTAGAAAGCTGTTCATTTAAATCTGATAAGTAGGGCTGGGATTTGTATGTAAATATATATTTTTAGTAAAACATGATAAATTAATTATTGCAAATGATAAATTCGTTTTACGTAATTTGCAACAAAATAAGACATATTTTTACATATTTCGCCATAAATACATATTTTTACACACTTTGTAAAATTCTCGCTTTTTTTTACATATTTCTTAAATTTTGACAATTTCGGTGGTTTAATAATATTTTACATTTATATTTTGATAATGGTACTCAGCAAATTTTAAGTGTACAATAATGTATATAGGAAATAAGTAGGTTAAAATAAGTATTAATAACTTGATTTTAGTTTATCTCAYCTCTTTCTGTCCGATAACCATACCTTAATGATTATACTTTATGTTCAACAATTATTTGACAAAATATATTTACGAATTTACAACAGTACCTTTAAGACTATCAGTTTGCGTGGTTATGAAAACAACTTCACCTAACGTAAATTTAATTTTAAAAATTTAAAACAATATATAGTTTGTCATTATTTCACTTTAAATTGATTAAACATCAATTGTATTTCAATTTAACAACATATTTTTTAATTTTTTACCACAAATTATTATATTTTTTAAATTAAATTAATCATACATAAAAAACAGTAAATTGTATTATTCAAAAATATTTAGAATTGTATTTTAATTTATAATTTTTTATTTTATACTACATATTTTTGCAATTTTAATTACATATAGGTTTCTCGGCTGGATTTGTTTGGAATAAATCAATTTTTTTTTACRAACTGGTGGTTTATGAATACACATTTTTCGATACATTTCAAAATTTTTTGAGAGTGGTCTGCGCATGTGCAGTAAAAACTTTTTTTTTAAATAGCGACACCTATTTTTAACGCCATATTCGGATAGGCCTGTTTTTTTTCAAGTAATTTTCATGTATCAACTATGGCTCTAAGTTCAATATTGACTGAATAAGAGCCATGTCAATTTTATTAAATAATACATTTTTAAAATTATTTTTAACATTTATAATTAATTCTTATTGGTTACTTTTTGAATATTTGTAGGAATTTTTTTTTAGAAATGTTATAAACAAGACTAACATAATATGGATACAACATTATTTATTAAAAATCGACTAGGTACAACTGGTACAAGTGATCAATAGTTATTTTATAATTACACAATAAATTAAATAAATTGTTCAAAGTTTGCTCCGTGGTTGTCGAAGCATAATTTAAAACGCTGTAGACATCCTCTATTGGTTGCTGACATTATTTGGTTTTCGGTAAGGTTATTACAAGCAACCATGATTTTATTTTTTAAATCTGCTAGATTTACTGGTGGATCTGCGTAGACTATTGTTTTAAAATAAAAAAAAGTTGAGTGGAGTAATATCTGGAGATCTTGCTGGCCATTCAATGATGGGGCCATAAGTGCCAAACCATTTTCCCTCATATACCCGATTTAAATGATCTCTAATAATATGAGCATTATGAGCAGGAGCTCCRTCGTGCAGAAAATAGAGAGCAAACTTTGAAAAATTTGGTTTCTTTTGTGCATTCGTTCTAATCGAGTACATTTACAATCACAGTAAAAATCCTTCATAAACTACATGTAAAAATGGCTTTTGAAAAACGGTAATTTAGTTAGGGGCTCAATTTACCWATGCTCGTTTAAATGGGCAATTCCTGCTTCGATATACTATACAGTACATACATCTGTTGTGTAGYTATTTTTTTGTTTTTACTTAGTTCATGACTGGCGCTAGATAAAATATAAATTAACAATTCCATTAAAAACACGAGCATCCTGTGTACAAATAATTCATAACATCTATTATAGGAATACGTTTATTACCACTATAAAACATAACACATAATTATAATAACTATAATTATAGAAAAAAAAAAAAAATAGTATTTAATAATTTCTGTAAACACAGTGAAGTGTTTCATTAGCTTAAAGTGTCTTAAATTATCGATATTACTTATTATTGCAATTGTATTCATAAGAGGTTCTTTAATATCAATACATCCTTTGAAACATGTAATATGAGGAGTTCCACTACTTACAAAATTCTTGAATTAACTTCAATTCTGCGTAYCCCATTTATTTTTGTGTGTTTTCAATTTTCAATTTGATTTTGTACTTAGTTTGAAACATTCAATGACKGTTTTCACTTTTTTTTTAATGTGTTTTATTTCATCTAGTCCGCTTTGCGCAACTCGATTTAATGTGTGTGCTAAACAAGGAATATGGTACCAATTTTTATTCATACCGATTGCCAATGTTATGTTTACAGCATTGTTACTCATAACAATAGCTGCCAATAGTGTAAACTACGTCAATTATTTGACCAAATAATTATTTTATAGTTTAAACTTYTATCATTGGAGAACATATTAAAAGTATTTGTGCCGTTGAAAAATAGGAATGAATAATTAAATTTACCTGTTTGTCTAATGTTGGGGACTATTTTTCACTTTGATTCAACTCATGTATCAGTTATGTTTTGTAGGTAGCTAACCTGATCTAAATGAAGATTAATCATTTTATTTACTGTACTATGATATTTTAGTTCTTTAGTATCACATTACTAATGTATAATACAATAATGATTTTAGTGAACAAAAATAAACAACAAACTAATGCTAAATAAAAAAAACTTTTTAATACTAATTTTTGTATAATTATTTCAGATATGTTATAGTAGAGAATTTGAGGTATATGTTAACTTCATTTAATCCAAAAGATCCAATCTTCTTAGGTTGTAGGTTTAAACCTTATGTTAAACAGGGATACATGAGTGGCGGTGCAGGTAATTTATTTAATACCAAATTTATTTTATAGATTAATAATAATAGATATTATATAAAATATTAAGAGTACACTACACCCGCATGTGTTGTCTTTGTCTTACAAGTGAATAACATGGACAATTTTACACTCAGTAGTTCCAATTTAGCTCCGTTAGCTTAAAATGTTGAGTGAATWTACCTCTTATAAATATTAAAGGCAACATTATTATCTAGGTTATCACGGAGGCTTTTTATTATATTTAAATTTTAAATGTTGTATATCATAAAATACTCATAACTCGTTTTAAAATAAAAATATGATAAAAAGCCTTGTAATAATGTTACCTTTAATTTTTAAAAGTCGTTAATTCGCTCAAAATTAAGTTAACGGAGCTAAATTGGAACTGCTGAGTGTAAAATTTGCCAAGTTACGCACTTATAAGACAAAGACAACACATGCAGGTGTGGCGTTCTCTTAATTATAATTTATAAGTATTGTGATACCAAATTAAAAATGTTATAGTAATATCTGTATAATTTAAATTATATAAATCCATTTAGGTTATTTGTTAAGCAAAGAATCAGTTAAGAGGTTTGTTGAAAAAGCTATACCTCATAAACAATGTCGGCAAGATAATGGTGGAGCTGAAGATGTAGAAATTGGTTAGTTTATTTTACAGGTATTTTCCTGTTATAAAAAACTACTACTATAATTGCTATTACCACCCAAAAACTCAGGTTCCGTGACTACCACAATCAGAACAATGTCTACACTCTACAACTGGATTGTGACATTTTACTAAATGAAGTAGTCTCTTATAACTGGAAAATACCATTTTTTATTTAAAAAAAGAAATATGTTGAATATTGTTATTATGTGGAATGCATTTTTTTTCATAGCCAAGATATTTTAGATCTATTGACTTAAATTATATTAAATTCTCTAAAATTCTAGACAGTAAGACAGTATTAAAATGTGGTAAATAATTATATCCATTTCAAACATTTATGCTTGATTTATATCAAGATCTATAATAATATTATACTATTTTGTTTTTATAATCTCTTCGGTGGTGTTAATTTAAAAACATACACATTTAAGTAAAAATAAATATTCTGTAATGATTTAAGCTATAACAAAAAATGTACTCTATGCATAAATAATTAGTAAATATAATAATTATTGTCATAATGTGTATAAAATCTGTACTACAAGCAATATAAGTATGTTTAAAATATTGATAAATTTGCTTTTTTTAGGTATTTGTCTTCAACTAGTTGGGGTAAAAGCTGAAGATACTCGAGATAGTTTAGGACGTGGACGTTTCTTTCCATTTATTCCAGAACACCATCTTATACCTGGGCACACAGATTCAAGTTTTTGGTACTGGAAATATATTTATTATCCAATAGTAGAGGTATATGAACACAAACATTAATAACGTACTGAACCTTAGTCAGTAATATATWTTTTTTTCATTATTTTTAGGGTATGGATTGTTGTTCAGATACCGCAGTTTCATTCCATTATGTTAATCCTAATAATATGTATGTTCTCGAATATTTAATTTATCATTTACGGCCATATGGAGTGACTCAGAATATTGATAAAAGTATTGTAAACAAAATATACTCTAACAAAGAAAATAATGTTACTAAGACTGATCAGCAAAACTGATGAAAAACACACATGTATAAACTTGAATTAAAACACTTGACAGTGTTGACCTTTATATTGTATATTATTTAATATTTATAATTATATTTATACACAAACTAGAATGATTAGTCTCGTGCCATTTACATGCTCTGTTTGTGTACAGAACTCTACTAGTCAATAACTTATTGGCAAATCCTAGTCAATTTGCTCATAAAGTTCTTATTGATGGAGCTTGATTTCTTTAAATTGTTTTTTCTTTTTATTATTCAAACATTCTAAATGAAAAAAATAATAAAATTTTGCACTATATTTATTTATTTATGTGCTAATTTTTTGTTAAACTTTAAAATAAAATGTTATTTCATAATATTATCTTGATTTAATACATTTTAAAATGTTATCAAATTAACCAAAGATGTTATTTTATACTTGCTTATAAATTTCACTAATAATATTTTTTGCTATTAGTGATTTTTTTATTTATAAATAAATATTCTTAAATGTAATATAATATAGCAACTGTACTACATATTCTTATATTGAAAATAAAGGGAATTTATATGTTTGAATTAACTGTGATTTATTWTTAAAGAACAATAAATATTAGTTTAGTAAAATTTGGCTTCAATATAATAGTTAAATCGAAAATCATTTGTATAACATATTATTATATTGTTCTTTTTTTTTCATTTGTATAAACACTACCACTGAAGACTGAACTGATTTTTATCTGACTTAAACATATTTATTATGCAGTATATATATATTATGTTCAGACTCCAGATAATATTACTCAAATATGCTTATCCATATATTTTTTTTTTCAAATAGTAATGGAAACCCTGAATAGAAATATTAATATTGAGTTCYATAAATAATGGTCTCTTAAACATGATTTGGTTGCCCATAATTGATTCATTAAATTAGTCAATTTTTATGCAATCCCAAAAACTGACTGTATTATTTTTTAAATAATAGTTAATACAATTATGAATTAATAATGATTCTCTGGTTCTCTGTTCAGTGTTACCACAAGTTACAATGACATGTTCATGGACATTTAATATGTATCACATATAAATGTTTCAATARTTAAAATCTTAGTAAATTAAAACGGGCAAGTTTGATCAARAAATCGTGAGTTTATCTATTTATGATAATTTATCACTGATAAACTTAGAAGTTGATTGAATTACAAAGACTTCTTTCACGTACTTAGTGAATTATGTATTTATAATAAACTAACTGTACAATTAGATACAACTAAAAATTGGCATAGCCATTAAAAAAATCTGCTCAAGCATATACCGTGTATCTAAGAGTTAAAACTATAAGTCAGTTGCAGTCGCCCAACCCTGTGTGGACCTAAGCTAGATATTTTTTTATGTATAATAATTATACTCTGGTTATAATTCTTATAAAATATAATATTATATAAGTAAAATTACAATAGCGAGACAACACAAAAATAATAAATTATATCTAATCATTCTCTTTCACTGGMTCACTGCTCTAGACAAACTATTACATCCAAAACATATTCACCATACACTTCATCCAAACGTTCTACTATGTTCCCGTAGGTATTTTATGATATAAATTTTCAATAACCGTACAATGTTAAAAAACATTAGCATTTTTTAAATTGAAACTTAAAATAATTAGATCATATAGATCAAAATATAAATTAAAAACAAATATGTATTAAAAATTCAAAAGTTTATTTTACATATTATACTYAAGTTGCAGAGCATTAATGTTGCCTTGAAATTATAATAATGAGATTGTTGCCAGTCTTTTAGATGACTTTGTATCRTACTATTGTTTATAAATTTTATGTTTTTACAATCAAATTTTCGTCTRAACATGGAATTAATTAATTCTATTAAAATACCCCCCACAGGTTGTGTAACAATGTTAATCGTCCTAAGTAYATTTAACTAATACATTTTATATGATTTTGTTATGTAACTTCAACGTATTTTTCATTGCAGTTTTAACATACTTATACCACAGATTATATAAAACTTTAATATAATCTGTGCTTATACTGAAAGTCTTTAGTGCATATTTTTGCGTACTTTGTAATTTTAAGCGCATACTTCTTAATTTTACAATTTAATATCACAATAATAGCATTACTAATTATTATAATGATTATATTATAAACAAATCATATTTTACTTATTTTTTTCTAGTACGAAACATTTTTTACATGTAGATACTTTTATTTTCTAGTGTGGGACTTTTTTTCCGCGATTCCTGGCCACTTGAACAGTTTTAAAACCCACTCAATTGACATGCTACAGTCGACCACCGACGGCGACGGGTAAGTGGTAATAACTAATAACCTACACCAGTCGTAGCGTACCTAGGGGTAGGGAGTTTTAAGKTTCTGACCCCCCTGAAATTTTTCCATCTCACAAAAATAAATCTTATTTTCCACCATTTCAATTCACAAAGGCGATCAATTGTCGGCAATTTTTAATAGATATAAATTTAATTGTTAAATTAATTATTATTAATTATAATTTGTTAAAACTAATTATATTATATAAAAACTGTCGAGAAATCATTTAAATTTATCTTATTTTCATTTAAATTATTTACTCATGTAAAACCCTAACCGAACTAAAATCCTGTGTACACTACTGGCCGACACTATTCACTATATATATATATTATTTATAAAATAATATTATATTCAAGTCGCGCCATTAACTCCTGAGTTTTTCATACTTTTGAAGTTTAGTGGTTCCATAATGTTATTATGTATTCCGTAGGGGCCGTACTGCGGTATATGTCTTTTATCGTAGGCGTAAGGAACTAGGACATAGTACTATGTTTGTATATTATATAATATAGTACCCACTTGTCAGACCACTGGCCAGCTAATGTGCACTTCATGGAGTTCAAATTTCAAAATTTGTAAAATTCATAGAGTAAAAGTAAAATTAAAAAAAAAAAAACCGTGTACGTTGACGCCATCTGACGGTATGAATATAAGCTGACGTCGCAGGTGATTCTTTATCTTATATTCTGTGGTGGGCACATATGATACTCTATGGGTGGGCAGAGTAGGCGTGTAATCTTAGTTGCCGTAATCTTATAAAATTTATTATTCATTCACAGTATAAACACTATAAACTATAAAGTTTTGATGTTTTTTACTTTTGTGTAAACTACATTTCGTATATCTTTTGATACTAAGTTTCCTCTACACATTAAATATACGTAATATATTAACATCATATTGCATGTTTAATCGACGCATTAAGTGTTTTTCTTAAAAAATATTTTAAACTAAATGTTCACGTAGTTTTAACTCGTCCAAGCAGTAAATTACAAACATCAAGATGCCCGAAACGGAAGTCCAAGAYGGGAGTCAGACCCAACGGCTGACCAATGCAGATTTTAGACGATTACTTATGACCCCYAGGTCAAGTCATCCAACAGCCACCCCGTCGCTCTCCAATGCAAGTGAAACGCCATCTTCCAAGACGCCGTCTACATCAAAATTCGAATCTGGTGGTTCGAGCGACAAAGCTGAGCTAAGACGCAAAAAAAAGATATTCTATGCCAAGCTCAAAAAACAGGAAGAAAATAAAATGGCCGAGCTTGCTGAAAAGTATCGTGACAGAGCCAAAGAACGTCGGGTTGGTGCCAACCCTGATTATCAGTCTCAAGACCCYGTAGCTGTTGCCAGTGGTTATAGAGCCGTAGCACCGGATATGAAATCTGGTATGGATGCTGCTGAACGCAGGCGTCAGATGATTCAGGAGTCTAAGTTTTTGGGAGGAGATATGGAGCACACTCACTTGGTCAAAGGTTTAGATTATGCTCTGTTACAAAAGGTCAAAAGTGAAATTACTGCAAAAGAAACTGAACAAGAAACTGAAATGGAACAGCTTGCAACTACTAAACCAATAAAAGAGAAAGCAAAGGAAGAAGACGACATGCAGTTTAAAACAAGACTTGGAAGAAACGTCTATAGGTGAGACATTTATTTTGAGAAAGTAGTTCTTTTTAAAAATTGAATTTGATGATAATTATTAAATCTTATTTTAGAGTTGCATTATCCGATAATGAGATGTTTCGTAATCCATCATTTGCTCCTGGGCGTATGGCTTACATAATTGATTTAACTGAAGATATTACTGACACTGATATCCCTACAACACTAATTCGCAGCAAATCGGATGTGCCTAGCATGGATGATAGACCCACATTGACCACAAATGATATTGTTATCAATAAATTAGCACAGATCCTTTCTTACTTAAGGACTGGACCAAAACATTTAAAGAAATCGAAAAAGCGTGATAAACAAGTTTTTGATGATAATATATAYCCTGAATTACCAGATTATGAACCATCTACTCAAAAACGCATTGAAGAGACCACTAAAAAACAATCAAAYTATTTTAAACATTCAAAGGATGAAGAAAAAGAAGTGGAAACTGAACATCATAAAAGAGATGAAATGGGATGGGTAAATATATTTGTGTTTGTATATTTTATAGACATATAGTGTCTATATTTATTATTAGAGATCGATGACCTTTTATGTATATCGGTGGCTATAGAAGTTAAAATTGATACAATATGCAAATAACTACTTATTATATTAATTAAAAAATCTGGTTGGAAAAAAAAAAACAATACGTCATGGTAAGGTACACCGTGACTGTTAAGTCACTAAGGGCGAGGCATTATAGAGGAATAATTTATTTTTACACAATTCTTTAAAAAAAAAAAGAAAATACTTATATAAAAAAAATAAGTATATAGGTACCTAACATTCAAATAAAAATATTATCGTAGATTTTTATAGAAAATATTAAATAAATAAATTCAGCAAATAATATAGTAAAATATATAACATAGTATACATTTTTATTCTAAAATTGACAAAATGTGTTTTAAATTTTGTTTGTTAACTACCTAGGTAGTAATTTTATAGAATTAATTTAATCTTGATTGCTATATCCGCTATAAATCAAGAATGTAATATAGGGTAATATGTAATGCGGCACTCACACGATCAATATTACTGACACTATGAATATTGACAGTATTTACTTTACTGACAGTATAGTCCTCAAACGGTCATTACAAATTACAGTCAATACTCAGTATTTNGCATTATAGAGGAATAATTTATTTTTACACAATTCTTTAAAAAAAAAAAGAAAATACTTATATAAAAAAATAAGTATATAGGTACCTAACATTCAAATAAAAATATTATCATACATTTTTATAGAAAATATTAAATAAATAAATTCAGCAAATAATATAGTAAAATATATAACATAGTATAAATTTTTATTCTAAAATTGACAAAATGTGTTTTAAATTTTGTTTGTTAACTAGGTAGTAATTTTATAGAATTAATTTAATCTTGATCGCTATATCCGCAATAATTCAAGAATGTAATATAGGGTAATATGTAACTCCTACGACTTCATATTGCTAAATAMAATTTTTATTGGTTTGTATTGGTATAAAGTGGATTATCTATCTTAAACTACAATTAGTTTACCTATTTATTTTTGTGTATTATTATTCTTGTTATGTACTGTACATATTATGTGTGTACTGTACATGTACATTTATAGCTTATTTAACATCAATACAAACTTTACACTTACACTTAGTATAACTTTCAAAAATATAAATATAATATTTTTAGGTCCTATCATTATTATTTTAATGTATTATTTTAACCTGTTCTTAAGTAGAAAAACGTTTAATATTTCTATAGAATAATAATAAAAAGATTAGTAATTTCTTATTTGAATTGAACTATATAATTTTACAACTATCAAAAGCACTATATTATAAAACATAAATCATAATTGTTTTGCGATATCATATAATTATTTATTTTATTTTTATTTATATTTTTTTAGGAGGCATTAAGTAAAACAAAATTTCAACGCAAAAACCAAATGGGCTTATTATCTCGATTGGCAGCTGAACCCACTGGCTATGCAGAGTGTTACCCAGGACTGGATGAAATGCATGATGCAATTGAAGATTCAGATGATGARGCTGATTATACAAAAATGGATCTTGGTAACAAGAAAGGACCAGTTGGTCGTTGGGATTTTGATACACCTGAGGAGTATGGTACATATATGAGTAACAAAGAAGCATTACCAAARGCAGCCTTCCAGTATGGTGTTAAAATGACAGACGGACGGCGTACACGTAAACATAATAAAGAAAAGAATGAAAAAGCTGAACTTGATCGTGAATGGAACAAAATTCAAAATATTATACAAAAACGTAAAGCRCCGGGTGGTAAAGATGAAGGATCRTCATTTAAAGTACCTAAATATTAGTTTATAACTTAATATAGAATATTGAAATCATTTAATTGTAATAAATCTAAAAAAAATAAACACAATATCATTAAGTTGTCATTAYTAAATTAAATTTTGTACTTCAATTGTATCCAGTTTTTAACTCCTTTCAAAGACATTAGTACAGGGATCATAACAGGTAAAAATAATGGAATATACACCGCATATTTTTGATCATCCGGAAAATAGAGCAATGCCAATAACGATGGATGAGTAAATGCAAACTCTGATGTTTCAAATGCTATTTTACTATATTCCAACGCTTCTTCTAATTGTCCTCTTTCTATACATTGAAGTACTTTAGTAGCTGCTTCTACTGATTCAGTTACTGCTTTTCCAACTTCTTCAATTATCACTATATTACTGATTTCACCCAACAGTCGTGACAATGATGTTAAAGTAATACGCGTGTTAGTATAATGTTCAATAATTTTGAGTCTGTACATTGAATCCAATTGCCATTTACGCAGAGTAGATGATTTTAGTGGCATTAGWGACATGTAATTAGATATATTCGGCACACCAATCAATGAATGAAATTGTGTGATGATGGGAGTCATAATGCTGAGATCATCAGGTATGAAGCTTACTGATTCATTGCATGATATCTGATCAACATTTAAGAACTGAACTCCACCCCAGCGAGCTGACATCATAGCAGTAGTTAACTGATGGTTTTCATGAAAATATAAAGGTATATAAGAACAAGGGGTTACATATACAACAAAATGTATACACGGATTTCGAGAGACTCCAGAACCTGAAACATGTAAACCGAATAAATATCAGCTATAAACAATTATAACTACTATCAAATTTCAAAAACAATACCTAATTTTTTTTCTAGAGGAGTAATTATGTATTGAGCATGGTTCTTGTCTAATACAAATGTAGTGTTTAATTTTGGGGGCTTTTGAACCAAATCGATTAAATAAAGCCATTGAGATTGGACAGAAAAGTTTGAAATCAGTTTTAATTGATTAAGCAAAGGCTGGAGATAACCTAAAAATAAATTAAAAATGTATGAAATTATTTGGCATCAAATAATTTATTTTTTTTGCAAAACCAACGGTTTAAAGGTATTTCTGGCTTCCAAGACACATGCAGTTTATCAGGTTCCGGATTTACAACAGTAAGAAGTACATTATAATCTGATGATGGTCTAACTCGACGCTGTCTTTCAGTTACTACTTGTTGGTCATCAGAATGATTACCAGGGTTCAACATTGATATCATTGAATCAGATAATGCATCTGTTTGTAACAGTCTTTTTAATGAGTCCATTAATAATTTAATGTCTGAAATACATTTAATAAGAATGAACGTGGATAACAAATAATGGACAAAATATAGGACAAGCTTACCTGTATTGGGAGGAAAATAAATATTACGGCCAACACCAACAATTATATCATCTACACTAGTGGTTTCAATTAGTTGTAATGATCCCAGAGGAGTTATGACCATCTCTAGTTTATTCAAATTATGGTCGTCTGAATTAATGAAAGTAGAAGGCTGAGCATTGATACTAAACATAGCTGTAAAAATATATTTTATTTAATGTACCACGATAAAATATTTTTGATGTATTCATTTTAGAAATTACTTGAATTAAATGAAGTATAAATTTGTTCGATAATACGTTCTGTTACATAGGAGTTTTTGGTGTATACAAATATGTCTGTAGAAATAACAACGTCCATGGTACTCAATTGTGAGATCTGTGCATATGGAAGAGAGTGACGTTGTACTTCTGTCATTCGCCACCACAGTGGTATGCCAATGACCAATAGTATGAATGCATAAACCGCAGCAGACAAATTCCTCAGGTCCTCTATAAAAAAGTTAGTGTTAACAATAATTAGTCTGCAAATTTATTAACACAGTACATTATTACCATCATCTTCTTTGTCAATTATTTCCCAAATTTCATCATTGCTGGCATCACTATTCAATGTCTCAACTGTACCAATAGGCTGCTTGTCGCTCACTAAAGTACCCATTTTGTATAACAGTAWTTTATATTTTAGCTAAAAAAAAATGCATATCAATTAATGGATAATTTATCATAGGAATAACATAACTCCAGAATTAAAATCATACTCTGATAAGTAAAGGAATTAAAAATTACCTAAAATTCAGGACTTGTTTTTAATTTCTTAAATATTCATTACCACATACAATAAAAACATATTGAAATTCTAYGAAAATTCAATGATTTATTATAAGACATTTTAAGAAGTATTGTTGGAAAATGTTTTGGTAGATGAAATTATAAATTGTAWGACGTATACGAGTATTAAACAACTAGAGAACTAAGTCACAAGCACGAATTAAGATATACATATTAAGATTTAAGATATAATTTGTGGTCACGAGTAAAGACTGAAGAAGTGAATACAGATATTACAGAATTAATACAGAATAATCTCGTTTTCTTATTTACACATTTTCCGGCTTGATAGTAAGTTGATAAAACGTCCTCTTAATTCTTATGACTTATATAAACATTAAACCACAGATAATAATATCTATATCTGTGCATTAAACACAATATCAATATTTTATTATTTTTTGTTTAATTGTTCTGCAGGCGGCAGGCCGTAAGTTGTTCTGTGGCACAGATTTATTAATATAATAT